CTTACACTTCAGCACTTCCCAATGGAAGAGTACAGTTCAGCATAAACATCCAATGCCAAAGAAGCACCTTTTGTTTTACATTTCCCTTGCTGCTATTTTAAGACATTAATATTATGAATCACAAAGGAGTTATTGTTTATTTTACCTAAACTGAAGCTTTTAGCTACAATAAGTTCTCTAAATTTATAAAGCAATAGAACCATCTAATAAAGGTAGCTGGGTGTTTTAAAATCAGGAAAGGTGTGCATCAGTGGTATACTCTTTCACCATACTTACTCAATCTGATGAGCATGTAATTCCAGAAGCTAGACTGTATGAAGAAGAATCTGGCATCAAGATGGGAGGAAGACTTACTAACAGCCTTCGATATGCAATGACACAGCCTTGTTTGTTGAAAATGAAGACTTGACGCAAGTGCTGATGAAGATGAAGGACTGCAGCCTTCACTTGTGGGTTACAACTCAGTGTAAAGAAAACCCAACCTGTAGTATTAATTCGTGCTCTCTGTGTTACTTCTCCATTGCATCGAGTGGATCTGTTACACGTGACCTCTTTAAAATGTTGAAAACCTGGGAGGTTACTTTGAGGACTGAGATGCTCCTGTGATTTCCAATCACTTCATATCCATGTGAAAAGTTGGATACTGAATTAGGGAGACCAAAGAAAAATCGATGCATTTGAATTAAGATGCTGGAAGAATATTGAAAGTGCCAAGTACTACCAAAAGAACAAACAAATCTGTCTTGGAAGAAATACAACCATAATACTTCTTAGAGGCAAGCATGGAGAGACTGTCTCACATACTTTGGACATGTTATCAGGAGAAACCAGTCCCTGGAGAAAGGACATCATGCTTGGTAAAGTAGAGGGGCAGCAAAAAAGAGGAAGGCTCTCAACAAGATGGATGGACACAGTGGCTCCAACAATGGGCTCAAACATAAGAACAGTTGTGCGGATGGCACTTGACTGGGCATTGTTTTGCTCTGTAGTACATAGGGTCCCTATGGGTCAGAGCCCACCCCATGGCACCTAACAACAACGAATATTACTTCTCTGGGTTCTAATAACCACTGTAATGGCTACACAGAACTCACGGACAAAATTCATGATTAAAGGGTTTATTAAGGAAGTCAATAAGCTGTAACGCCAGTGAGAAATTCTCAGGCTGGAGTTGTTTATCAGGACAGGTTACAAGGTTCTTTCAGATCTGTTTATAAATGCCCCCAAAATTTACCACTCCACTATAAGCCTAACCCATAGGCATTCAACTCAAGCTCCCTGGATCAGTAAACCCAGCTCATTAATTAAGTACCCAGAGCCACCCCACTCCAGTCAGCCTCAGTCTGAAGGCACTCATCTCCATATCCATTAGTTAGCAAGTCCAGCTTCCCCAGTTAAGTGCTCAAAGGCATCTTACTCCACAAGCTTGCCTTCTGCACAGAAGCACCCGGCTTTATTTGCTCCATAGGTTGGGAAGTTCATCGCTCTGTTCCGTGCTCTCACTCCTGGTTCTGTGGCTTCTCCTCAGTCTTCTGGACCCAGGAGGTTCAGTGCATAGGAATCTCAGGTCCAAAGGATACACTCCACTCCTGGCTGTTTTTGGTAATGAGAACCTTCCTCATGCTCGTCAGAGGGCTCATTTTACATGAAGCAGGATGGCATTGCAAGGAAGCCAATTCACAGTGACTCAGAGGTGAATCCTATCAGTAACTTCCTCCACCTTCTTACCAGTCCCATGTAGGAAAAGGTCATTTGATGGGAGTTAGAGACTTTGGCAAGAAGAGCCACATTAAATAAGCCACTGCCCCTGCCCCCAAATCCTCACAACTGGACCAAAAAGGCTAACGAAAAAGCAAAAAATAGCGAAAAGATTGAAATGTCAAGAATTTCATTTTGTTTGGCTCAGCATTCAATGCTGGCACCATAATTCAAATGCATTAATTCTTCTTCTGTCTTCCTTGTTCAATGTCCAGTCACTGTCAATCAATGAGGTGATTGAAAATACCATGGCGTGAGTCAGAGTAACATCCTTATTTTCAACACCTTAAAGAGTTGTCGTGCAGCAGATTTTTCAGTGCAGTATTGAAAGGACCATGTGCTGCCAAAAGAACAAACAAACCTGTCTTAGAAGACGCATAGTCAGAATGCGCCTGAGAGGCAAGGATGGGGAGATTCAAACCTGTCTTAGAAGACGCATAGTCAGAATGCGCCTGAGAGGCAAGGATGGGGAGATTTATCTCACCTACTTTGGAGATGTTGTTAGGAGAGACCAGTCCCTGGAGAAGTACATCCTGCTTGGTGAATAAAAGTGGCAATGAGAAAGAGGAAAGATAAATTGACACAGTGGCTGCAACAATAGGCTCAAACATAAGAACAATTGTGAAGATGGCACAGGCCAGGCAGTGTTTCATTCCTTTGTGCATAGGGTCACTAAGAGTTGGAACACACACAATGGCACCTAACAACAACAACAACAACAACAGACAGTGCTCCTGGAAGCAGCAGTCAAGAAATCAAATGATACATTGCTTAGGGAAAATGTGCTGCCCAATGCTCCTTTAAAGTATTGAAGAGCAAGGGTGTTACTTTGAGGCCAAGGTGCGCCTGTCCCAACGCATGGCATTTTCAATCACCTTTTGTGCATGTGAACGTTAGACGTAGAAAAAGGAAGACCAGAGAATAATGGATGCCTTTGAATTGTGCTGGTGAAGAATATTGAAAGTACGTGGATGGCCAAAGCAACATACAAAGCTGTCTTGGAAGAATGTTAGAATGCTCTTTAGAAGTGAGGATGGTGAGACTTTGTCTCACGTACTTTGGACAGGTTGTCAGGAGAGACCAGACCCTGGAAAATGATTTCGTTGTTGGTAAAGTAGAAGATCAGTTAAAAAGGACATGGATTGACACAGTGGTCACAACAATGGGTGTAGGCATAACAGCTGTGAGGATGGCCCAGCGTGCGTTTTGTTCTGTTGAACATAGGGTCTCTATGACTGAGAACCGACTTAACAGCCCCTTACAACAATTGAAATCATCAACAAGTATGTATTAAGCATCTATTATGTACCTGGGTGTATTGAGAGATAAAACACTTGGTAGAGAAGGATGTTTGAGAACTAACTGTTCATGAAAATGAAAACAATGATCGGCCTAAATAAGCAATAGAAAACCATATTTAAACAGATGAGTAGATAGACATAGAGATGACTTCTTTTGTTCTTAGCTCTGGCAAATTTTTGTTTAATATATCAAAAGATATATATATGTTTTCACCAGAAAGTAATTCATACTGACATAAAAATTTAAACAATGAGAAAAATTTGAAGGGAAACATAATAAAAATCACCAGAAAAATTTTTTAACATTTCATTGAGCATCTGTACAGCTATCTTGTTAAACATCTAAGCATATACAAAGCTATCTGTATAGGATTATAAATAAACGAGAACGTTAGATGCTTTTATAAACAAGTTAGGGTGTATTGTGACTCTGCTTATTCTGTCATGAATTTATTTAACTCCTTTACTAATAAAGGTTTGAATTGCATTTTTCATATTTGGGCAGTTGATCTTTGTGGAATAACTGCCTTGATATAGAATTGTTTCTTCCAGATTTCTTGGCACTGTTTAAGACTCACAGGGACAGTTCTATGCTGCCCTGTAGTGTCGCTATGAGTTGGCAGTGACTCGATGGCACTGAGAACACTGATTAGGAGCCCTGGTGGTGTCGCGGGTTACACGCTGGGCTGTTTACAAGGTCAGTAGTTTAAACTACCAGCTACAAAAGAAAGATGACACTTCCTACTCTGTTCTGTAAGGCCCCTATGAGTCGGAATTGACTCGATGACAGAGTGAATTTGAGATATCACCTTCTATTTCCTCTCTTTTAAATTTAGTTTCTTGTACCATCAACCATAGGTAATGCCTTTGGGTTTCCGATGTTGAAAAAATGCACACATTTCTTTACCCTTTATCTCTCTCTTTCTCTCTCTCTCTCTCTCGTTCTCGCTCTCTCTCACTTCCTTTTCACTTGTCAGCACTGTCACCTTTACATTTTAATTGAGTTAAACTTACTAGTGTTCTCTTTGGGGAAGTGGGTCGTGGGGGATACTGTACTCAGAGTCTTGTCTTCTCAGGGAAATCTTAATCTAAAGTCACAACACCACCACCACCCACACACATACTTACCAGCTCCTCCTTCCCTGTTACGTTTTTCTTACCATTTTCTAGCATCCTGTGTTTTCTTAATTATTGTGCTTATTGTCTGCCTCACTGGAAGATGAGGCCAAGAATTATTTATGTTTTCTTCACTGCTGTATCGCCGTGTTGAGAACAACATATGACAATAGTAGACTTGCAGTAATTCCTTGTGGAAACATTCAGTCATGTGATATAACCACTACGTAATTTCAAGTGCATTATGGTATCATTTAAGTTAAGGCCGCTGACTCAACAAAACGCACTGCCATCAAGTTGATGCCGACCCATAGTGACCCTATAAGGTAGGATAGAACTGCTCCTGTGAGTTTCTGAGTCTTATTCTTTGCAAGAGTAGAAAGCCCCATTTTTTCTCTTGAGGACTATTTGGTGGTTTTGATCTGCTGACCTTGCAGTTAGCAGCCCAACTCATAACCACTGCACCACCAGGGATCCATAATATCTACATATTTCTTCAAATACTGTTGGTACTTACTAAAAGTAAGATTAATGTTATAATGTAAACCCACAAAAAACACTGCCATAGAGGGGATTCTGCATCGTCGTGACTGTATAGAACAGAGTACAGCTGCTCCCTAAGATTCCCAAGGCAGTACATTGTTAAGGGAGCAGACCGACTGTTTCATCTTTCTCCCAAGAAGTGGCTGCTGGGTTTGAACTGAAGACTCTGTGGTTAGCAGCCCAGCTCGTAACCCTCTATGCCAGCAGGGCTTGTAACTATAAGTAATAATGTTTAAGTAGTATGTTATCTAAAATACATTGATAACGTGAAAAATGTTTTAGGTTGACAGATTTGTGATGGAATTAGAACAGAGCCGGGATCTGAACAATACCATAGTGCATATTGACATGGATGCTTTCTATGCTGCTGTAGAAATGAGGGACGATCCAGAACTGAAAAGCAAGCCCATTGCTGTAGGCTCCATGAGTATGCTGGTAAGTAGGTAAAGATCAGGTGCAAAAGGAAAATGTATGGCATACTCAACGAAGCCATTTCTAGTTCTACCAGTTTATGGTGTTGTTTTTCCAAGTGCTTTATGTACCACTCATCTGCTTTGTATATGCTCAATACTGAATCTGTTCAAAACCCAGTGAGCTACAAATGCTTATTTTCACTAACAGAAGAAAACAAACTCAAGCATTAATAACTTGCCTAAAGTTACTAGTCATGGTAAAGTGGCATTGTAAATTACAAACTGAACTTTCTTTAAGTAAGTATCGTAGTTGAATTGAGTTAAAGAAGAAAGAAAAAGAAATGTTATTCCAATCCAAATTAGTAAACTAATCTATAAGCCAAGTACTGCTTGTTTTTTTGGGTGGGGGGTAGGGGCGGCAGGGGTTAAATAAAATTATATTGTCACATAGTCCTGCCCCTTCATATATTATTATAGTCATACTAAAAAGAATAGAACTGGAACAGATATCATGATCTGTAAAGCCTAAAAAAAGTATTTTTATCTGTTCCTTACAGGAAGCAAAAGTATGCCAACCCTATTCAAGCATAATGTATTTTTAAAATGTAGTACATTTCACTCTCCTCTAGTTCTTTACTGCTTCCTCCCCAAGCGCCCCCCCTCTCCCCCACTATCATGGTCCCAATTCTACCTTACAAATCCAGCTAGACCAGAGGATGTACACTGGTACAGATAGGAACTGGAAACACAGGGAATCCAGGACAGATAAACCCCTCAGGACCAATAATGAGAGTAGTGATACCAGGAGGGGAAGGGGAAGGTGGGGCAGGAAGAGGGAACCAATCACAAGGATCTACATATAACACCCTCCCTGGGGGATGGACAACAGAAAAGTAGGTGAAGGGATATGTCAGACAGTGTAAGACATGACAAAATAATAATAATTTATAAATTATCAAAAGTTTGTGAGGGAGGGGGAAAATGAGCTGATACCAACGGCTCAAGTAGAAAGAAAATGTTTTGAGAATGATGATGGCAAGAAATGTACAAATGTGCTTGACACAATGGATGTATGTATGGATTGTGATAAGAGTTGTACGAGCACCTGATAAAATGATTTTAAAAAGAAAAAACATATATATAGTAAATTTTTATTGCAATTAGGTTGTTTTCCCATGGCTTAGACATGTTGCTTTTCTGCATTTTCTGTTTAGAACACCCATCAAGGATTAGCATAGTTTTGAGTACTGTGAATGGTTTAAAACGTTTCACAAACATAAATAGCAAATTGATATTATTATTCTGAAATAACATTCATTGGATAGATTCACTTTTGCATTTCCCTTTCCTTTAACTTGAGATTTCCCATAAGGATTGCGTTTGGGACTGACTGTTGCCACGTCCCACCAGCAGCAGGGTAGAATTATGAGTACTGTTCTCTCCGTCTTCTCTTAGCGCTTTTCAGTTCCCCTCCAGTCAGTGTTCTCACCAAGAAAGCTAGTGAAGCCTGAAGAACTAACACTTGCATTTTGAAGTTATTTAAAGCTGTCATCTCTTAGTATTGGAGACCTAGTTTAAAAAACAAGACCAAAAAATCACTGCTCTCTAGTCAATTCTGAGTCATAGCAATCCCTCAGGGCAGAGTAGAACTGCCCCTTTGAGTATGAGCTATAGAGCTCAATGGTAGCAGAAAGCCTCATCTCTCTTCTTCAGTGATAGGTGTGAGCTGCTGAGTTTGTGCTTAGCGGCCAAACACATAACCCAATAGGCCATCAGGGCTCTTATCAGACTTCTGATATTTTCCCCCTAGATGAAAATTGTAGTAAGATCCCTAAATAGACTAAATCCCCAAATTATATACATTTTTACTTCTGTGTAAAATCATCTCATTCAAACTTTTGATATCTATTATATTGCAGGTATGCCTTAAAATAAATGAAATTTAGTTACTAGAGATGTAAGAGAATCTTTTTTACTAGTACATTATTGATGAACACATTGCTTATGACCTAGGGTCACATCATAAATAGGGGGGTGGCAAAAGGGTAGTGTTAATGATACCACGGTAGGAGAAAGTCAATGCTGAGTTTGAAACAGTGGTAATAGCAGAAATGCCCTTGAATCGAAAATGCACATCAATAATGTGTTTGTTATGAATGCATCGATCAATATGTCCATTTGGGTTTATATATTCTTTCCCGTGTGGTCAATTGTCTTTCAGTCTACTTCAAATTACCATGCAAGGAGGTTTGGTGTTCGTGCAGCCATGCCAGGATTTATTGCTAAGAGGCTCTGCCCACAACTTATTATAGTGCCCCCAAACTTTGACAAATACCGAGCTGTAAGTAAAGAGGTAAGTCTGATGTCGCACTCTGACTTCACTGGTTTTCCTTTCACCCACAGAGGCAAATCCAAATGCCTTAGCGCACCAGTATTTGGTCCGAGCTGACCCTTTAGACTTGCCTCATACCACTTATTTCAGCTTATATATAGAATATTGAAATGCATATAGTAGCTAAAATTCTCTTTCCCAGGCCTCTGCCTCTCCACACTTTTTTCCATCTGCCTATTATATTGAGTCTTATAAATTGACTTTTATTATTTTTCTTAATATGTAAGATGAAGTTTCTTTTAATTTCCAGGACCTCGTTGAGTTACTCAAAGAGTTCTGGTGGTGCACTGGGTTAAGCATTGACTTGCTAGACTCGAGGTCAGGACCTGTTAACTTCATTCACCCTCTTTTCTAGCTTAATTTTTCTAATCAAGGTTTTAAAACAATAATAAAACTCATGTATTTCTTTGCTTTTTTCCCCCTCCCACACTCTGGTGAAGTTACTTACAAGCATTTAATGTTTAAGAAACTGACAGAGGGAAAGAGGAATTATTCATCACTCTGAAAATGATCCCTGAAGTAGAAAGATTCCATTAGTCATTAAAATTGCTCCAACTGTCACATATGAAATTGAGCCTTGGCAGTGTAGTGGGTATTGGGCTGCAGTTCGAGCTCACCAGCTGCTCCAAGGGAGAGAAAAGTGATTAGTGTCAAGAGAGACTAGACATAGTGACATTTATAGCGTTGCCAGCCCTAGAAGAGCAATTCCTCCTGGTCCTGTTGGGTCACAGTGAGTTCGAAGCAACTTGATGGCAGTGGCTTTGGTTTGTTTGGGTCACATAGGAAAACTGCCTTCTTTTTCTTTTTTTGTTGGCAAACATAAAATGTTGGCCTGTCATGCCAGTCCTATAGAACTTAAGTCTTAAAATAGTGCTATGTCAAATATTTTTATATTGTTCTGGTAAAATATAGTGTGTATTAGCTATTGCTTGAATTAAAATACTTGAAACGTATAGTCCAGCCCTCAATACCATTTAATCACATGAGCAATCTTTAGATTCACTCCTCTTATTTGTGTTTCACCTAAATTCCCTTAAAAATGGCACCCATAAACTCTCAAATTAGACTCATGGCCATAAGATAGAGTAGAACCTGCTCCTATGGGTTTCTAAGATTGTAACTCTACAAGAGTAGAAAGTCCTGACCTTGCTGTTAGCAGCTCAGCACATAGATGGCCCACTACATCACCAGAGTTCCAGTGTATGGGAGCAGGTGATTTCCACCTGCTCCTGATAAGATGATGGGTAGCACACCCACACTTGGTTACTGCTTACTTTTGTTTTGTTTTTTTTTTACTGTATCCTCATTGGGAAGAGATAAAATAATAACCACAAGCATTATAAGCTTTTGATGAGTTTGGAAATCTTTCAATCATTTAAAAAATTCTACTTTAACTCAGTAAAACTAGCAGTATGGCAAGGAGAATGAATTTTATTTTAGTTGTCTTTCTTCTGGTTGGAGAGATCTTTCTTTCTCTAAATGTGAACAGGATCTAGCTAGTTTATTTATGGATAGCAAATGGGTTCTTATGTGTCCATGAGCTTTGGCATAAATTTATGACTTGCTATATAAATACAGCCAAAGCTGTGGTATGGTTAAAAAGCATAAGGAAAAGCCATTTTGTGTTATCAAAAACCCTGTGCTGTCACTTTAACTATTGTTGAAGCTTTAAGTGCTTGATTTTTACTGGAACGTCTCTGTTTTCGTCCTTACGGCAGTCTCCTACGAAAAGGAAGTTAGCGAGAGCTCAGCAATGTCTCTAGAGACTCTTCTTATTCAGAATAATCTTCGTTGGCTGCCAACTGCAGATTTTCATTTTCACTAGAAAGATTCTACTTGAGCACATTACAAAAATGATTTCTTCCTCAAGAACAGAACTAATTAAGGTACTTTCCAAGAAAAGCTCAGCCACGTTTATGTCATAATTTTCTAAATTTCCTCTTGACTCAGCTGTTCATAATTATATTAAGCTAAGAAGCTGTCTTTTGTGTATTTTTTTAAAAAGAGTTTTCTCAGGACACAACAGGCAACTTTTAAATGTTTTAACCTAATCCATCATTTGTCTTTTCTGATACACATATCATTTTGGTAACCGTGCCTTCTAACTGCATCTAATATCTCAGTGGCCAAAATAACACAAAACGAAACCCAGCTTCGGAGTTTCCTGTGTGTAACAAAAGTATCTCATGTAAAAGGTGTTTATGGGTGTAGCAACTATAGTCCGGCTCTCTGTATGAATCCTTTCATCCCAAGATGCAACTCCAGATTTTTTCCCATCATCTAATGTAGGCATGGAACTACACTACAGATGTTGTCAATTTCCCATTCCAAATCCCAGTAGGTAATTAAACTTTGTGTTCACTTATGAATAAATTCATTAATATGGGCACTGAATGGAGTTTTATGTGTATGTTATTAGTACACAAGACATAAGTACTTTCTAAAGTAATCAAGTATCTACTTAAAAAAAATTTTTTTATGTCCATGACTTTTGATGAAACCTACTTGATTGAAACAAACCATTTTTATGGTGGTTATTAAAAATTATTTTTAAAAACCAACAACTAAAGTTGAAGGGAGATAGGATCCTTCCATACCTACTGCTACTTTTGACCAGTTACCTAAAATTACATTGTCTTAACCACCTTTTATATACTGACCAGAATGATGTCGTTTCACAGTTATTTGCATCTCATGCTATAGCTAAACCTCCTGCCACGCCCCCAAAACATTGCATTGAGTAGGGTCCAACTCATAGCAGTCCTTCAGGGGAGAGTAGTAATGCCCTGTAGGGTTTCCAAGGAATGAATCTTCCTGGAAACTGACTGCCAGATCTTACTCTGTAAGATGCAACTGTACCTAGGTGTGCATGGTTAAGTGGGAATCATGCCAATTATAAAAGTCATTTCATGGTCTTTTGTCTTCTTGATCTATATTAATATAAAAGAGAATTTGAACAAATATGTCCTGGCCATGAATTATTTATTTCCTAAATTCTTAAATTACTAATTTTAGAATCTTTGCTCTAGTTGCTAAGTAAGAATATCAATGGCATCCTGTCACTTATATATGACAGAAGGTTTTGCTATAGCAGCAAATAGTAAACCTTTTTGTTTTGTTTTGGTCCCTGTTGAAGGTTAAGGAAATACTTGCTGAGTATGATCCCAATTTTATGGCCATGAGTCTTGATGAGGCCTACTTGAATATAACAAAACACTTACGGGAAAGACAGAATTGGCCTGAGGAAAAAAGAAGGTATTTCATCAAAACGGGAAATTCTGCAGAAAATGGTAAGCAACTTACTAAAATTATCAAATTAAGGCCAACAAATATTGGAAATTCCAATTAACTAATTGATATGCATAACTAGTAAGACTGCATATTCCAAACCTGTTGCCATCAAGTTGATTATTTTCCTAAGATCTAACTCGGAAAGGGTTGGACTGCGTTGAAGCAGGGGTGGTTTTCCATTTATATTGGCTACTGTTTTTGTTAATGGAAATAAAATTTTTAAAGGAAAAAGATGAAAGATTAGCTTCAGCAAATCAAAACATTGGGTGCTTTAATTTTCTTCTTCATTTCCCAAATATTTTCTTAACTGTGGTAAAGTAAAATGTACATAACCTAAGATTTGCCATTTCAAAATCTTATATTATTCAGTGACATTAACTACATTCACATATTGTACATCCATCATCGCTATCCATTTCCAAATTATTTCATAACTTTTAAACAGAAATTAAAGGAATAACTTCACTAACCACTTCCCACTTGCCCCTGGTAACCACTGGTAATTTTGTTCTCGGTGTATTTGCCTGTTCTAGATAGCTCACATAAGTGGGATCATGCAATATTTGTCTGATTTATTTCACTTAACATATTTTTCCCAGTTTCATCCATATCATAGTATGTTTCAGAACTCATTTCTCCTAAAGCTGAACATTTCATGGTACAAGTATATTTTGTTTATCATATACCTGTTAATAGATATTTGATTTGTTTGTACCTTTTGGCTCTTGTAAAGCGTACTTGAATGAGCATTGGCATACACATAAATGCTTGAATCACACGATTCAACTCTCTTGAGTCTATATCTAGGAGTATGTTTAGTGGGTCATATGGTAATTCCATGTCTAACTTTTGGAAGAACTGCCAAATTATTTTCCACAGCAGAGTCTTGCCAGCAATGTACAAGAGTTCCAATTTCTGCACATCCCTGCCAATACTTGTTATTGTCTCTTTTTCTAATGAAAGCTCTCCTTTGTGTGAAGTGCTATCTCATTGCACTTTTGATTTTTGTTTCCTTGATAACTAAGGACGCTGAACATTTTTCATGTGCTTGTGGGCAAGACGCATGTCCAGGGCCTGTGCCCAATTTTTAATTAGCCGGTTTGTCTTTTTATTGTTGAGTTATCTGAATATGTT